GGAGGAGGAGGAGGAGGAGGAGGAGAAGAAGAAGAAGAAGAAGAAGAAGAAGAAGAAGAAGAAGAAGAAGAAGAAGAAGAAGAAGAAGCAGCAGAAGCAGAAGCAGAAGCAGAAGCAGAAGCAGAAGCAGAAGCAGAAGCAGAAGCAGCAGAAGCAGCAGCTCAGGGAAGGTGCCCAGACAGGCCCTTAATTCAAGCCCCAGAACTGGCAAAAAAAAAAAAAAAGTTTGCCAAAAGGAACATTTCCTGGCCATCAAGGCCAAAGTCTAGACTGAGCTTCGCCAAACAGAGCTGCACAGTTCTCACATGGTGCTGAAGTCAGAAAATAACAAGTCTTTCTTCCTCCTCACACAGTTCCTAGTATCAGGACCAATGTATAACGGATCTAAGAAGCCCCACAGAAAAGAAAGGTTTATCTCCAGGTTCTTTAGAATCCTTATGACAATTCTAGGTGGGCAGCTGTATGCCAAGCAGGCACTCTGCGGCTTTTGATTCTAATACCCTTCACAGTCACACCCTGATGCCTGGGTGGGTGAGCAGATCTCTGTGCACCCTGTACTCCCAACTTGAGAAGGCATGGAGTCTCACCAAATTGGCAGACATACAGTCATGCTTTTGGGGGAAAGCCAATTATTGTGCTATCTTCGATTTAAATGATTAACTTCTGTCAGAAGGACTAGGACTTCATAAGACTACGAATACTGACGCAAGATGCTATATTTCCATACAGGTCATTTACGCTTCCTGTTTCCCCCTGGAAGGGATCTGCTTCATCCCTCCTCACTGCACTACTAGGCTGCACTCATTTGTTTGGGGTGGGTTTTGCTTGATTTGGCTCCAATGGCTCTAATCCATCATTGGTATGAAAATACCCATAGTGTCCCCTGGTCTTCATGAAAACAGCTTTACAACAAAAGAAAAAAGGTGGCATCATGCCCCAAATTGTTAATAACTCCTGTGTAGGAATTCTGCCTAAGTTCATGGCTGAAGAAACCCACGAAGCCTCTAGAGATAAACTGTCTCCCTGATGCTATCAGAGGAAAAAAACAACAACTCTAAATGGAATCGTGACTACAACTGCAAAGTGATGTTACGTAATCTCTGAAATCAGCCATCTTGTCTGTTATCTGGGACCCAAATTCCTCTTTAACTTCATTTGGATCATATTTCTATTCTTTCTTTGCATTTAGGCAAACTTGTGATGCCGAGGTAAAAGGATGTGAATAGCATGACTACCCACCTGGCAGTTAATTTCTTTTTCCTGCTGGCATCTCTTCAGATTTTCTGCTCTTGATTGATCAGTGTAGAAATTCTATGGAACTAGAAGAAAAAAGGATTAGAGCCAGACATAATCTGAGATAACTAAAGCAATCTTTTGTTAAAGTTTGTTAAAAGTTAACAGTTCCTATTAAACATATTCAATGGGGCAGCCAAATGTTAATGAGATCATACCATAGATATGTTCATATGAATACAAGAATATTCAGTGAAACATACAGTAAAGTAGCAAAAAAAATGGGGAAAGTTACTAAATAACCATTAATAAGGAAATAGTTAAATTATGGTATTAGAAACCATACAGCTATTTCAGGGAATGAAGGAGATTTCATTGTCCTGACATGGAAAAAAATACGTTTGTTTAAAAAAAAGTATACTATAAAGGTACATATATTATTGCTTTTATTCACTTACAGAAACAGGGTCTCGGCCTAGAACTCAGTATGTAGTCAGGCTGGTCTCAAACTAGTGTGCTGAAATTACAGGCATGCACTACCATACCCAGTTTATATTATTGCTTTGGCTTTTTTTTTTTTTTTTTTGGTTGGTCATGGGGTTTGAACTCTTGGCATGGGCGCTGTCCCTCAGCTCTTTAGCTTAAGGCTAGCGCTCTCCCGCTTGAGCCACAGCACCATTTCCGGTTTTCTGAGTGGTTTATTGAAGAGTCTCATGGCCTTTCCTGCCCGGGCTGGCTTTGAACTTCAATCCTCAGATCTCAGCCTCCTGTGTAGCTAGGATAACAGGTAGGTTAAGTGTCTTACAGACTTTCTTACCCATGCTGGCTTTGAACCACATGGTTCAAAAAACCACCCTCAGGAGTGGCAATGGGCTGGGAAAGGAAGTGCAAATGCCAGTATCTCGGCTTGCTGGTTGGCCAGATGCTCTCTGACTTCTACAGTACAGGAGGCCAAGAACCCATATAAGAGAAGTAGGGATGGTTTGCAAATCATTTGGACAGAAAGAGAAAAGTGAGGAATAATGAAATAAGAGAGAAAGAGCACACAGCATTCCCAGCAGGAGAGCTATCTGCCATTGCAGTTACCTGGAAGGTGCTCTGCTCTCCTCTGGTAGAAAGCTTTGCTTTAACTTTTTTTTTCTTTTTTTCTTTTTATCGGTCATGGGCTTGAACTCAGAGCGTGGGCACTGTCCCTGAGCTCTTTTGCTCAAGGCTAGTGCTCTACCACTTTGAGCCACAGCTCTACTTCCGGTTTTCTGTGGTTAACTGGAGGTAAGAGGCTCATGGACTTTCCTGCCCAGGCTGGCTCTGAACCGTGATCCTTAGATTCTCAGCCTTCTGAGTAGCTAGGATTATAGGCGTGAGCTACCAGTGCCCAGACTTCTTTACTTTTTATTTCATTGATAATTGTTTTGTGAAAGTAATAATGCACCACATTTCTGCAGGCCTTCATAGTTTACAAATTTCTTCTTGTTCCCATTCCCACAACAGCAACTACCACCTGCACAGCCCAGGCCAGCCTCCTGAGGCTCTACTCTTCTCCTTCTCTTACCTTCCACAGCCTTAAACTCCTTCCAACCACCCCTTTCTATTTACCAACACTCCGTTTTCCATGTTTCCCTGCCTTGGACCATTTCACATATGTCCGTCTCCCTGCTTGGGTTATCTTCTTACTCCATAGCATCATTCTCTCTCCCCTCTTGCCTCTTAGCACCCACCGCTGCTTCCTCAAGGAAGCCCATCACCTACATTCTCTTCTTTATCAGCCATGTTGTTCCTCAAGTCCTAACACTACTATTGGTCCCAGTGAACTTCATGTGGGAGGGGCCAGGTCTGTTTTATTTCACTGTCCACCTATTACTCTGCCTGGTGCTGGCACTATTAGGTGTTCAGTGAACATTGACCAACCATGTGAAAAACTGTCATTGTGAATTGAAGGCTTGGCTCCAAAGCTACTGCTCCTCTCCTCAGCAGTGCTGTCTCTCTCCTGGGGTAGGTGATCACAGGTTAAGAGTCATCTGGGTCTTTTATTCCTGTCAGACTATGAGTGACTTTGAAGTCTTATTCACTCCAATACTCTCCACAGCCCCACACACAATACCTAACACACCCAGGTTCTTAATAGTACATGAACTCACGTATCTGCAGGAAAGTGCTAATGGAGGCTGCAAGATTCCAACCACTTACAGATGTTTCTCCTGCCTAGAAGATCAGAGCCCAGACCATGAGTATCTCTAGGATAGGCAAACACATGAGGCTCTGCCCAGGAGAATGCAGAGGTAGTGGATAAATAAGGGCATGGAAAGCTAGGTCCTTATTCTGACCCAGACTCCTTGGACAGAATTAAGAATGCCCTAGCTGCCATACTTCATTTCTTTTGCACTCTAAAGGTCTGTTTTCATGTTCTTACTAGCCAAGTAGAAACCAGTAATTTCTTGGAAGATAACAAGCCTCTTTTAGTTGAGAAATGCTGACTTCCTCTGGTAAGAGTGGCTACATTCTGATCTGTAATTCACTGACATCACAGCTGACTACAAATCACAGCTGACTACAACTTCCAAAGAAATCATGCCTTGAAGGAGCAATGCTCAAGGGTTCTGGGTTTTTTTTTTTGTCAGTTATGGGGCCTGAACTCTGGGCCTGGGCACTGTCCCTCAGCTCGTCAGCTCAAGGCTAGTGCTCTACCACTTGATTCACAGCACCATTTCAAGCTTATTCTGCTTATGTGGTGCTGAGGAATCAAACCCAGAGCTTCATGCATGCAAGGCAAGCACTCTACCACTGAGCCACCTTCCCAGCCTCTCAAGGTTTTCCTAAGGCACTACTGAAAGGTTTTCAGGAGGCCAGGAGCTCAGTCCAGAGGCATGCAAAATAACCTGCTGTCCAAGAGGTTTAGATGATTCATCTGTCTTCACTTAGGAATCATGTCTGGCCCCTTGTGAGTTCAGTTGACTTAATCAGCTGAGGTCAACCTTTCTCACACAGGACCTAGTATGAGCCTCCTCCTTAGGTGGCTGGGCCATGGCCTTTCAGGAGACAAGTACCCACTTCTGTTTTCAGCAACTGCACTGACTGACTGATGTGAAGTCCAGCATCAGTTGACTGGATGACAGGAAGAAGCTCTGGGACTTTCTTTGTAAAGCCAACATGGCAGTTCCAAGATTCCTCCTGGCGATTCCCAAAATTGATGTTTTCAGAGAAGACTTGAGGCTCCTCACATAAACACTATCGTATGACTGTGAGAACAGAGCTTGTGAATACTGCAAACGTTCTCTTTCTGAATATTGTCAGGGTGTAGTCCTGAGTATATATTTCTTCACCAACTTATAAGTGCCTTTCACCTGCTCCTTTTGGAGTAGGTATGACTGACAATGAGCTCCTATGACTCTGTAGAGGAGATGATCTGTTGGGAGATCTTGAAGCTAGGAGGTGTTAAGGGTGGAACTCTTACTTGCTTTCTTTTCCCACTTCTCACTGAGCCCTAAAGTGACTACTTTGAGACAGACAGTGGTACTAACCAGTTCTGGATTCACAAAGGCCCACAGGGACAGGAGCCAGACAGCCAACAAGAGAGCACAATAGACAGAGTAAGGGAATGGCACACAGTGCAAAAAGCTGAAGAACACATCTCACGAAGGTATTCATATTAAGACCCAAACTCTATTCTGCATCTGACTCAAGTTCAGCCCACCTCCTTTAACACATAGAGGAACTGAGATGGGGAGAGGAGTGAGGAGGTTAAAGTGTACTGGTAGCACATCAAGCATTCCACCTCTGTCACCTGCCAGCTGTGACAGGCAAGTCACTTCACCTCTTTGTGCCTTTGGTGTAAACTGGAGATTATCTCTCAAATCATGCTGTGAAGATTAAAAGGATTCAGCATAGGCAGATGTCCAGCTCTGTGTGTGATGAATATCTCAGGAAGATACATGCTAGTAGAGCTCAGGATGCAGTACTCTTTCACATCTCCTTACTCCAAAGATGCCTGAAACTCACCAGTGGGGTGGCTTGTGCAAGGGAAAGTATACTGTAAAAGCATAAACAAGAAACTAAAGGCTCTTTCACTGTTGTGGGGCACATGAAGGCCTGAATGGACGTATGAGGCATGCCATCCTTTTGTAACCCCTGCCTCCTGGCATGGATTATTACTATTCAAAGTTTCAAGATCCTGTGTGTGTGCGGGGGGAGTTCCCATTACCCAGGCCTTCAGTGGAATAGCTACTGGGAACAATTACAGCTTCAAGGTGATGAGAGAACTTTCCTGTTAACCACGACAGTAACTCAGCTTCTAAATACCACACCTTCCTGTGGATTATGGTCTCTATCTACTTAGATAAAACATTTTTAAGTGTGCATGCTTGTGTGTTTTCCTTCTTTAGGACACTAAACTTGAAGAAAATCACAAAAATTCTGAAGTAGTTTATTAGTGACCCTTTTATGACCTCTTATAGGTTCAGCCAGTCTGGGATACTAACTACCTAGGAAACTTTGCTCCTAATGCCATAACTATCTGCCACAAAGGGGAGAGAAGTATGGATGGTTTATTCCAACTTGAACTCAGAAATATCATAACCAGCTAGTTTTGTGCCTAAGGTCACAAAATTTTCTTGGGGGTGAGGGGGCAGGCCTTCTAATATATGGTAGGATGGGACTCATATATGCTTTGGAAATGCTGTCTCATTCAAGCTCCACTTTTAGCTCTACTTTTTGCTTTTCAAAGCCGGAATATTTTCTCTTTAACTTTTCAAATATATGTAACCTGCTAGCAAGGGAAATGGGCCTCAATACCTTGCAAGCCATCTCAGGCCACCTGACAACCTTTAGCTCAAAGACCCACTAGGCAGGGAACTAGGGGCAAGTCCCTCTCTTTTCTTCTCTACATAGAGTGGCTCATTTCATTTCAAATCCTGAAAATAGATAACAAGTATAGAAAGCCTCAGGGCTGACATGGCCTGTTTATTTTCTAAGCATAAACAACAAGTTTTTGAAAGGAAGCAGTAAGAAGACCACAAAGCCAAAGTTAAAGATTTCTCTTCTTTCCATCTTGGAGTTCTCAAACCAGCTATTTTAGGGTGTGATTAGATACACCATAAAATTTAACCAACCTAGATTTGAAATGAAACATATAATTTTTCATTTATAAATGAAAGTGTATAGAGATTCTTAAGTTCCAGACATTTCTTTCTAGTAAAACATTTCGTACCACCTTCAAAATAGAAAAAAAATAATAATAAGGTTTTCTGCCCAGTATCAGTGGCCCATGCCTGTAATCCTAGCTACTGAAGAGGCTGAGATCTAAGGATCATAGTTCAAAGCGAGCGTAGGGGACTCTTATCTTCAATTAGCCACCAAAAAGCCAGAAGTAGAGCTGTGGCTCAAATAGTAGCTCACTAGCCTTGAGCATGAAAGGTCAGGAATAGTGCCCAGCCCAAGTTCAAGCTCTAGAACAAAAACAAAAAGGGAGAGGGCAGGGGTGGAGGTTACAAACACCAATGTCTAAGGAGAACTTGTTTCTTCACCTACATCTGGGCCAAGTTGCTGCTTTTAGAGCCCTTAACACTCCATCAAGTTCTCAGGTGAAAAAGTAAACCAGCATTTGAAGAGATCCTATCTGGGAGACTTGAGGATCCGACTTTAGCCGTGGGCAATTTCAGAGAAAGCTGTAATTTTCAGAGCAAGTTCCCATACATCATAACATACAAATAGACTCTGTGACCAGCAAACTGGAAAGCAAACTCTCCAGAGATCTCTGCTTCTCCCTAGGGGTGGGGGCGGAGGAGGGAGTAAAGTTCTACTTACAGGAGCCAAGTTTTCTCCAAGTCCAGAGGTTCAGGGCAGAAGTGAAGGTAGAATTCAGCGACGTTTCAAGATGAACAGTCCAGACCCAAGGTGCAGGCAGAAGTCCCTCTTGCCCTTTCTCTTTCCCAGTGTCGCCTAAATGAAAAGCACTTCGAGGTTTTAGTGGGTGTTTCCCACATCTCTGGCCAAGTCCCCATTTGTTGTAATCCAATGCTCAGCCTGATGATGTCAACCACTCGACTCACTTGCTCAGTTTCCACTCTCTTTCCACGGGAGAGATCCATTTCCTTTGGACAATGAGCCAGGGGGCTGTAACTGCATCCTAGACCCGTCACAGTTGCCTAACATCCTTCCTTCAATTTTCATCCCTGCAGCCTTAGTGACAAAGGGCTTCCTATCTACTCGTGCAGTCAGGGTTCCCAGCATAAATCCCTCTGCTTCCAACAGTTGCTGCTGACTCTGAGCTATCTGCTCTGCTTTGCTGTTTCCATTCATTTCTTTGGTGAATAATAGAAAGGAGACCGTGACCATATATCCAGCTTTTTCTCTCTGCCCAATTCTCCATGTTGCTTCATTTCTCTATAGACTCCTAGGCATATATGGAGTGCGGTGCATGCATTTGTCCACATAAAGAGACCATAAGCAAGCCCCCAGGAAAGAAAGGCTGGGAAACAGTAGTTAGTCAGGCAGTACTGGTCTATTGCTTCAGGAACTGGGCTCTGTTCTTGGCCCTATACCCCCACTCCCTGGACTACATGAATGGCCTCAAGCAAGTCATTTCCCTGTGCAATGGAACCTCAGTTCCCCCAACAGTAAAAGGATGGCTTAATTGCCTTCCTTTCTCAGATTCCATGATTGAGAACCCACACCTGCAGAGCTTACTAGCTTATGCATCCTACAATAGACACATATTTAAGCAGGGGATAAATCCTGGTCCTAGAGTCTAGGCTTCTCATCTTCCTTAAACCTCTTTATGATGGAGCTGGAATGTCTTTCTGGGAGAAAACCATAAAGAATTCACTGAATTAATCCCAGGGGACCTGAAGAAAAGGCAGCAGAAACTATTAGATAAGAGAAATAAGAGCCAGTGGCTCATACCTGTAATTCTACTCAGGAGGCTGAGATCTGAGGATCTGGGTTGGAAGCCAGCTCAGGCAAGAAAGCCTATGAGACTCTTATCTCCAATAAACTACTCAGAAAAAGTGGCACTGTGGCTCAAGTGGTACAGTGTTATTAGCCTTGAGCACAAAGAGGCTCTGGAATAGTATCCTGAGTTCAAGCCCCAGTACCAGCAAGAGAGAGAGACAGAGACAGAGAGACAGAGATAGAGACAGACACAGAGAGACAGAGACAGACATAGAGAGACAGAGACAGAGAGATAGAGAGAGACAGAGACACAGAGAGAGGAACAAGAAATTTCAGGATCCACAAGGAAAAGCCTGGAGAGAAGACACAGGGAGCTGCTCCACTCCTGTGGGATGGCAAGGAGAACTGAGTATGCTCTGGAGCCAGAGACCTGGGGCTGGCTCCTACGTGACTTCTCTGGACTTCATGTTCTTCACTGTGAAGTGGGCTACTAGTGTCCTCACTTTAGAACTGTGAGAATGGCACTCGTCAGGGAACTAAAAGTAGTCAGCACACACTGAGTACAGAACAGGTGCTAGATCTCAGTGGTATATATAATCTCACTGATTCTTCCAATACCCCAGGTGAGTGAGGCCCAGGGCTGCAGTATTAATCTCCTTCCTGGACAAGAAAATGAAACAACTGACATGCCCAAAGTCATAAGCTCAAAATGAAAGGGCTAGAATTAGAAACAGAGACTTATCTCCTAACTAGGTCGGTATGCATTCCACACACACAGTTGCTATTTCTTAAAATGGTCACTCTACCCAGCTTGGTAAAGGAAACTTCAGGCCACCAGGTCAGAGGGGAACTTATCTACAGGACTTTGCTACCAAACTATTGGGTGGCCTAAAGCAAGTCTGGCTTCAACTCCCTGTCCCCAGGGGGCAGCTGTGATCTGTGTTGATGTCACTCTTCTGGGTATAAGAAGTTAGGACTGGACTCCATGGAAAGCAGTTCTTTACAGGTGTGGGTAGAGGAGAAGTGGGTGGTAGTTTATGACTTAAGGCTTTTTATTTGTTAGCAGAATACTCTGGTACTTATTAGGAAAGACCCAAACACAGGCTCTGTTAGGATGGCTTTTGAACTAGTTTGTGAACTGTGGTGGAATAAAAATCTACCAGCTCCCAAACTCCTAAGAGCAGCAGTTAACAGCTGAAGTTAAGAGGCCTGCAGCAACAGATGAGAGAGGCCTGGGGTCGGTATAGTCCCAGGCCATCTCCTAGCTATGCGTAATTTGTCAACTCCTTTGTGTCTTGGTGGTTGCATGTAAGATGGAGATACCCACAGCATTACCCTCTAAGATACTTACGTTGGATAAGTACCTGCCACATACTGTGAGTTCAAAAATACTTGCAAAAATAAGTTGCAATGTCTTAATGATAAATACACTAGCTTCAAATTCTGACTTCCTTTTACCTTCCTCTGCCTTAATGATGTGGCAAGGATGACAAAGACTCAAGGTAATCAAGTCAGGAGTGTCAAGAAGCCAGAAGAAAGGCCTGTATTTCTCCAGCTCAAGCAAGGAACAAAGGCCCACCACATGGAGAGCTGCTCTCTGGGAATGTACTTAGCCTAGAGGGACTGGAAGCAGGGCCATTGTTTGGCTGTGCCTTTATTCCAGAAGTTTAAGTGGGAGTCAGGAAATGAAGGCAGTTCTTGAGAAGGATCAGTTTACTGACGTCACCCTTTGAATCAAGTTTTGTTGGTTGAACAAAACTAACAGTAAGCAAGGAGCTCATTCATAACACAACATCACTTTCTACAACAAGTACTCTGTAACACTTGCCTTCCAGGCAGAATAATTCTGCAAACAACAAATTCCAGGAAGAAAGATCCCTAAGGACAAGGACCTCAGTTTGCTTCAGGCTATAACAGTAGAGATGCTGTGGGCCAGGCCTTGCTCAGCCAAGCTGTCTACAAAACATCTCCTTAACTAATCCTCACATCAATCAGCTGCAGGAGATAGGGTTGGTATTCATAGCAGTGTAGCCACAGGTACACAAAGAGGCTAACCAAGCTGCTAAATAATTTCTAAAAGACATAAACATTTCATAGAAGCATGACAGAAGCTTAAGTAACTAAGCACCACTGGGGGAGTGGGGGTGGGGGAGGGCACATACCTGTAGAATCTCAGAACTCAGGAGAATCAGTTCCAGGCCCTAGCTACAAAGTAAGACGTTGCATCAAAAAAATAAAAAATAGGGGCTGGGAAGGTGGCTCAGTGGTAGAGCGCTTGCCTTGCATGTTCGATTCCTCAGCACCACATAAGCAAAAAGAAAAAAGCCGGAAGTGGCGCGGTGGCTCAAGTGGTAGAGCGCTACTAGCCTTGAGCTGAAGAGCTGAGGGACAGCGCCCAGGCCCAGAGTTCAGGCTCCACAACCGGACCCAAAAAATAAAAAAAATAATAAAATAAATAAATAAATAAAAAATAAAAGAGCAAGAATCACTGGTGGGGAGGGGAGGGGAGGGAGAGATAGGATAGAAGGACAGTGGAAAAACACCATTAGAAATAAGAGACAAATAGCTGTTTAGAACCCTGGGGTTCCAGGAAGGCTCTAGGCCTATAGAAATAGAGAAGACTCCAAAGCAGGGATGAATATTAGGGGATCAGCTAAATGTCCTGTGCCAGACAGTTCCTTACTCTTACACTACTGCAGCACTCGAGTTAGAAGTGTAGCAGAATCACAGGCAAAGTCAGGGAGGCTCTTTAACTAAACTGAATGAAGTGTAGGGGTGGCCTAAGACTGGTTCTTTATTCTGACATTAGAAGGGCCCTGAAGTCTAACTGCTGGTCCTGTTTCTATGCCCTGTCTAAAAACACCCCTTCTATTTGGCACAGAGAGCTTCCAACAAGTTCCCAGGCAGGGGAGAGGCCCATGAGGCAAGCAACCAACTATGGAAGAAACCAAGGCCTAGCTTCTAAAAGGAGCCTTTCATTATTGATTGTGATATCCAAGAAATCTATCACAAAGCATCTGAAGAAAATCAATAGCATGAAAAAGACTACAATAGAAGATAGTCCTTATAAAACATCAGGAAATTCAGACAAATGAGAAGCTTAAAAAAAAATCCCACGTCTTCACAAAGTCTAAAGGTAATGTTTCCATGAACATAAAGGAAATTAGCTGACAAAAATGAGCTCTTGAGAATTATCAATATGAATTCAGTACAAGAACTATAAAGTAAGAAAGAGAAATCTTTAACAATACAGGAAAAAATACTCATTGGAAACAAATATTCACACAGAGTAAGCATCTAGGAAGTTCAACATGACACTACATAGGAATTCCAGAAAAGAAAAAGGAAATAAAAAAGGTGGGAGGACAATAGAAAATTATCTAAGAATTTAAGAGAAAAATTTCCCGAAGGTGAAGGAAGACATGGTTCTTCAAACTGAAAAGTCTGAAAATGCTAAGTCAGACCTACACCTTGACACAGCCTCTTAACCGTGCAGATTTCAGAAGAAAAATTGTCAGTTTCCAGAGCAGTATACAAGATTGTTTCAAAACTAAAAAATAAGGTTGAGATTGTGGTATATTTCTGTAATTCCAGCAGTGGGCGGCTGAATCTGGAGGGTTCAGAGTTAAAGGTCAATCTGGGTTATATATCAAGAATTTGTCTCAAGGGGTGGACCCATTGTAACAAGAGTTATGTCAAAAAAACGAACTTTACAACTTTGGCATGGGGGAGGGGGAGGTGAGAGGGGGAGATGGGAAGGGATGGGAAGGGGAAACAAAGGAGGAGGCAACAATGCTTGATAAGAAATGTGCTCTTAGCCGGGCGCTGGTGGCTCACGCCTGTAATCCTAGCTACTCAGGAGGCTGAGATCTGAGGATCGAGGTTCAAAGCCAGCCCGGACAGGAAAGACCGTGAGACTCCTATCTCCAATAAACCACCAGAAAACCGGAAGTGGCGCTGTAGCTCAAGCGGTAGAGCGCTCGCCTTGAGCTGAAGAGCTGAGGGACAGAGCCCAGGCCCAAAGTTCAAGCCCCACGACCGACAAAAAA